GGGACAATACTTTTATTCGCCTGACGTTTCGACATCCGTCGCGGATTCATCACCAGAGACATTAGCAGAAAACGGTAGCAGAAATGAGAGTTTGCGGTATTTATAGGGTACAGTCATTACTGCAAGCATACAGCGACCATTAACGTTAATTGCCTTCTTGTTTCTTAATTAATGAAGTATTTTGAAACGTGGCCCCCTCATGGCAATTAAGTATGCAAAGCACCTAGAAAAAAATATGCTAGGCAATTATTGAGGTTGGCACTGGAGTCTGCGTCTGAGCACCGTCCCCTCTCATGTCTTTTTTCCAGTCGGAAATTGTGCCCTACCACTGTGACACGATGGGCGGCCTCATAACTCCGTTGAATCCGTATCACAATCTATTTCTCATGGTGGACGATGGCCTACGTTACCTGCATCCGAACAGCAAGGTCAGACAATTTCGCCTAAAACTGGAAAAAGCCCTATCAGAACGCCTACGTGGAGCATCAGGTAGTTATGAATGGATTTCAAAAATAGATGCCAAGTGGATTAAGCTCTTAACGTTCTAAATTTTTCATTCTAACCACATACATAATGCTCTACTATGCTGACCTAGATGCGCGTATTTAATCGATTTCGTGCGTCTGCATAACGCATTCAAGATAAGCTAGGTTCATCACTGGGTCCATTAGCGTTATCCCTACGCTTTCTGGCATATAAAATCTAGTTCTCACGCTGTCATTCTTAATTTTCTCGGAAATTGTATATTATTGACTGGTTGGTGAATAGTTCGTTGTTATCTCACGGGAAATGACAGGTTCCAGCTCAACCATTGACTTAGATCAACTTTCGATGGAGTCTAAAATGCTTTGTTCTGAAAGGATCGACTTTAAATTCGCATATTTCCGAGAAAATTAAAAATAGAAGCATATTGGACAATGGCAACAGTTTAAATAGTGCAATATTCGAGAGTTGAGGTTTATGTAGGATGAAAGCAAAGGTTTAGGCAGTATATTTCTGGTATTTTTATGATGCTGTCCGCCCATGGAATATACATTGCAAATACTTTTATAACAGTTAGCATCCATAAATATACTCTCAAATAGAAAACAACTGTTTATTGGGTATGGCATTCACGACAAGTCTGTAAGACGCAAACACGCCTGCTTTCGACTGGCCATCCTTCCGATTAATTTTCATTGCTTATGTAGGTCTGCGGTGGACGGCCAACAATGCTGTTCCCCCTTTGTTCTCCAAGGCCCGCTGCCTTAAAGTCATGCATTAGCACAAGCAGCTGCTTCAGACTCGCTGACCTTAAAACGCCTGACCGACTTTCAATCGCACACACACACGTGTGCCCCACTAGTCGTGGTTTCTCAAGAGCCACTTGAACACGACACCCGTCGCCACGTAGCAGGGAACCTCTACAGGCGACACCGAAATCGGACAATGTAGAACACCAATAGCAAACCACATGAACTCGCTTCAATCATGTAAAAGCAATTGTCATCGCCCCTCTCATACACTCTGACACAACGCGCAGGCAGACAGTCTCGGGTACGACTGGACGCAGTCAACAACAGCGCTAGATTCGCTAGTGGCCACTACTTCCTGAGACAGCAATGCAGGGTTTTATGCACAATAAAGTCCTCATTCTGGCGACTTCTGTCTTTTATCTGCAGTCTGGGTTTCGGCCTGATGGTCGTAGTGCTCTAAGTACAA